ACTCAAGTTAATTGCAGCGATGGGGAGGAAATAACCAACTACCTCCCATGGCTAACATCTGACAAGCTGGCTAAAAAAAAAAAAAAAAAAAAAAAAAAAAAGAAGGAAACTTATTCAATTAAACTTTTGCCTGGCATGTAATGGAAAATGTGCTCCTAATGGAGGGCAACCTTGGGCGGCGGCTGCCGCACTAACCACACCGACTGTGGGCTTGAATAAATTCCGTTTTAAATGAAATTTCGTTAAAATATAATATTTGCCAAGCTCCATTTGCTGCTAGGCGGCACGGGGGGCGTGGCACATGTGACATGCGTTGAAATTTTTCATTTGATCATCCTGCTGCAGCTGCACATGCAAATTAGAGCGTTATTATATGGCCCCGGCAAGCTGGCGGCAACTCTGAACTAAGAGGCTCTGATGAATGGGAATTGTGCGGAACGCAGAACGCAAAACGCAACCCTCGAGCGAGCTTTTGACTTTTTGGCCAGCTCACTACAAAATCTGTGGGGACGTTGTTTCAACACACAACTATTTCCCAGGGAAAACCGGCTCTGATTTATGCATGTTCTGCTGCCACATGATTCCTGAGCTACTGCTTCTCCGCCCAGCCTTTCGTTTGCATTGTTTTGATTAATTTCATAAGCTTTTGCCCCGGGGTCGTAAAAAAGGACAACATGTGAGGAGAGCCGCATGTCGCCTGTGTCACATGTTGTCTTTGTTTGTATTGCTGCAGCACTTCCACTTCACAAGCTTAAAGAACTGCTGAGCCATTTAATATTCTATTTATAGTCCACTAATATTTATTATGGACGAACAAAAGACGTGAAAATGGGGCGGAAGAAAACTAATTTAAATAAAATAATGCTTCTCCATTGTTAGTTGGGATTTTCGCAGATTTGTCATTGTGTTTTGCTTAAGCTAGCTGACCGAAAAACCAATCTATAAACGTTGACAGCTCCGCTTAAGTAACGCCCACCATATAATCCCTTGCAACAATACCAGTCCATACCATTATGCCAATTCAGATGGATATGCAACAGTTTTGCCCCCTTAGCTTTTGTGCAATTTCTTGTAAATTTAATTTCCTGCCTTGCGCTTCTGCTCATTTGGCTGGCACTCTGTGAGCACTGACATTGACTCTCGTTGGATTTGCATTTGGCAGGCGATGTCTTCATTGCTCATCAGCTATGCAGAATTCATTTCCTCATTCGTTCAATTACACAGTCATCGTTGTGTGAGGCTGCTGCTCACCAGATTGCAATAATTTTCGAATCAAATATTTGTCAGGTGTCACGGCGCATATTCAAGGCATTTCAAAAGTTAATTAGTTTTGAAGTTCCAATAACTTTACCAATTCAAATCTCAAGCATGCCGATTGTGGTTTTCTGCGGGCAAAGTAATTGCCAATTAGTGCACGACATATGTAAAGAATATTTCCTAAAATTTGATGTTATAGCCTATGGAGAAAAAAGCGAACACCATTGCAAATTGTTTGAGAAATCAATTTTGGGGAAAATTGCTAAATTTGCCAACCAATCGAACAAAAACAAATGTCAAATATTTGCCAAATTACTCAGCACAAAGCCCGAAAGCCAAAGCCAAAAGTTATGTGCAAAAATGTTTTTGCCTGCCAATGAGACGTGAACTTTTATGGCTCCTCCCATCCCATCTCATCCGCTCCCACCAGTCCCTGACCCATTATTTTCAACCTGCACTCTCACGTCAAGGCAACCTAATTGATTTTAAAATAAATAATGACTAATCACCACCTGCAAGAGCGAGAGCGAAAGGGAATTGTGTGTTCGTTCGTTCTGCCCTGCCCTCACCCACTGTTTTCTAGGTGGAAATTTCGTAGCATCAACCGCCACCGCCTCCGCATCTACATCGCTTTCTGGGTCGATTCCGGTTGCTGTGTAGACACGGGTTAACCCGTCCAAAGGGATCCCTTCCGCCGCTTGATTAATTGAAATTTCACTCACTGTCAAGGTGTATAGTTTGTGTGAGTGTTTGGGCACGGGCACGTCTGTGGGCGGTATATGGCGAGGCGTGGCAGGGGCAGCAGCAACTTGTCTCCACTAGGATACTTGGTCCTTGGTGGAGGGAGAAGCGTTTCCAAATTAATTGAGTGCGCTAATTTTAGCAAAAAGGTTTTTTAATTGATGGCCCGAGTTTTGGAATTGTTGGAAATCTTGTTTACTTTGAAACTAGTTTGGTTAGAGGCAAAATTTAACTAAACTCGGTAGGTAGCTTTGATAACAACTAAACAAAGTCCACATTTTAATTGACCCCTTTACAAAGTCTTCACTTAATTCACTTAAGCTAATGATTCGGTTACTACTTGACTGTCAAGTTAAATGTAAACATAATTTGAGATTGTTGGCTAGTAGTTTAATCGTTGGAAATAATCTTTTAAAGTATACTTAGCACAGCTATTAAATCCGATTTTAATAGTTACATTGATAAGAAAACGATTCGATCATAAATTTCTAGTGCCAATCAGTGGTTGCCAAGGGAAACGAAAATGTACAGCGGCTGATGAGGCGATGAATGAAAAATTGTTCGTTTACCTGTGGTAATTTCTCTTATGAACAGTTTTTCCCAAATTTTTCGTCCGACTCGTTAGGTATTTTCGATTCGCGTTTGTTCATTACAATTTGGCCACGCGCAATTTACATCGCAATTGTACAAGTGTGTGCTATTGCCTATTCTTGTGCATTATAGCCTTTCAACATTTAGGCCGTGAGGTAACACGATTTTCAAAATGCTTTGCGCCGCGTTGCGTGGGCATTATGTGGCTTTCCGTGGTGTTGATGCGATAATTGTGTTCCGAGTGGCGTTTGATCCAATGAATGGTTCAACAGCATCAGCATAAATGCAGTGCGGGATTAGCAAACATTTAACGAGCGGGCGAACGAACGAACGAGCGGTCTGACTTTTCAATCGATAGCTGAGAAATTTGTTGGCCCATAACCTGCCGAATGGAGGGGTATTACACGAGTTTTCTTTGGCAAAGTAATGACCCAAAAATCTAAATATCTCGTACTACATTTGCTGCTGGCTGCTGGCTTCTGGCTGCTGGCTGCATGCAGGCTCACAGAGATATGCGAACCCGGAGGAGACTCCGTGGAACTCGTACATACTTGTGCATACATTTACCCTAATGCTGTGCCCGGGGGTTTTCACCACCGCCACTCCCCATTTTCCGTCACCACCCCACTACTGGCTGTGTGCCAGGACCAAGTGCTGTTCCAGCAGCAGGAAGGAGGTGGAGCGAAGGATACGCAACAGTCTGCCTGCCTGTTTGCTCTTCGCCAATATTCAAAAACTGATTTTCATATGTCTTTTAAGTTTATTTGCGAGCGGGCAGATTGTGGGCACACACATCCCCAGCTTCTCTTCGCCAACTTCGTGCCGTTTCTGTATCTGTTTTGGCATCGCCTTGTGGCTCTTATCGTATCCGGCACACGCATAAAAGTTGGCCGAGTGTTTGCAAATTTTTTTCTGCTCGCTCTCTTTCAACTTTTTTATTGGGCCCGAATTTAATTCTCAGAGAAAACAGACACACACACACGCACACATAGATACTATATATACGACTCGGCTCCTGTGCAAGTTTTTTGAAAAGCGATTTCAAATGCAAATTTTATTGGAACAGGGGAGTCCTGTGTATAAAGATGGAGATTAAAATCAATTCAATTTGCTGCAAGACCAGCAAAAGTGGTAATAATTTTCGGTCTTTGTTTTCACGACGCACACACAAGCTTTCTTTTACTTAACATAATGAGATTTTGAGCGAGTGCGTTTATTGCTAGCGAATTTACAATGGCCAAGACTAGGGGAAATTTGTTTAGTCAGCAAAATGAAACTGAGCAGGGATGTTAGGCCCAGTCAGTTGGCTATTAATTGACCCATTTCTTAGCAGGCTCCAGTTACATGCCAGGCACACTGTTGGCTGTCAATATATCACACGTTATGCACCATTAAGTGCTCGCTTAATAGGCGGCCATTTATCAAACGCTCCCCCGATGTGCTGCCAAATGTTAAGGAATCGAGCCAGGATGAGCTTCGATGCTGGGAAAAATCAGGAATGAAAGCAAAGCGGCAGATGCCACGGTGTTTGTCATAATAAAAGTTACTTAAAAATTGCGCGAAAATATTTGGGCGAGCATAAATCAATTGCTTGGCAGGTACAGCATGGCGTATGCGTGATTTATGCACTGCCACAGGGCAGTGTTTTTACGTTTTTTTTTCCCAAAAAAAGAACAGGACTGGCTCTTGGTCTATGACGGCCATAATTAGCCAGCCCACTGGGCGTATGCGTAATTAAAGCCTTGCAGTGGTAATCGCGTATACGAGGCTTGGTCCCTATAGTCAATCTGTCGGGAATACGTGAAGAGGGCTTACGTGGAAATTAAATAAAAACATTGCATTTGCATTGGCCTCGTAAATTAACAAACTTAAGCAAACTTCTGCTTGCTGGCTGACAAACACTGCTCTTCTGTGTATCTTTTGATGCGTATTTTATTTACCTCTCTCGCTCATGTCTGTTTGGACAAAAAGCAACGGTAGCAGGTGCTGCTGTACCGCTGCAGTTGCACTTGCAACTCCCAACAGGCTGACACAATTTATTGCTCTAGCTTCTACTGCCTCTGGGCAATCAAATAACAAAATGGCAGCGCAGCGCTTTGACATTTAATTGCGTCGTTGGCGGCAAAACTTATGAAATATGTTTGTGACAAGGCTCCACTGCAACCCGGTCCTCTTTTACCCTTTTTCTACCACATTTCCCCTATTTTTCATGTGCTGCCGATTTTAATAAACGACAGACCTTGTCGACTGTTGTTCGAATCGAGACTTGTGGTTCCCATTTGGCTATGAAGAATCCAATCCTGCCGGCACATTGCATTTTTTTAATTTGCTGAGTGCGCATGACTAGAACGAATCGAGCAGTATTCTTTTTATAGAGTGCCACAGTATATTTGCAGCAAAGAATCATCAAATTGATATATTTGATTTTATTTGGTAGGGAAATGATCGCAATTTAGTAAAAGTCTAGTTTGTAGTCTGTAGGATTTTTTCATCCACAACTAAACTGTTCCACTTTAAATTGTATTATTTTAGTATTAGTATTACCACTGGAAATCAAAGTTTACTTTTACATTTGAAAATTATTCAGATATAACATTATTCTTATCTACACATAATGGACGATTCGGTAAACAAATTGTGGTGATGAAATGGGTAACGAAAATATAGAATCCGTGATTCATTGAGTCTCTATCGAAAAGTCGCCTTCCTCCTTGTCCTTATATGAATAGCACTTTTCGACTCCCATCTCAAACAAGCATAAGAATGCGGTTTCGACTGGAGCTCGTACCTTTTTTTCCTTTGGCAACGGTTTGTTCAGCCTGCACGCCACATATAGCATCCTGAGAATGAAACTAATGCTCTTCCCGGACAGGATATATTTGGAGGCCACTGTGGTTATATGAACCATAAGACTCGAAGAGAGCGGCAGTTCTCCATTAAACCCCTCCACCTGCCGGATCAGCACCTTGACGCCGGAAGTTACGGCCAAATCGAATAGATCTTGTCTGGTTAATTGCGGATGACACATTTCAGTTCGGTGAGACTTTTTTGCAATGGCAACGCCAAAAAGCAAAATGAACAACAATAGAGACCTGTGATTCTGTAGGAAAAAATGGGTTTAAATATATTTACAGTTTTTAAAGAAATTACCATTTTATTAAACTAATTGTTTTCTCCTTAAAAAACGGACTAGAAATACGTTATTCAAATTGGAAAAAATATAATTTGCTGCTAATCATCCGAATAATCAGATTTGAAGTGCTGCTAATCGAAAATCAATCGTTATCGCAGTCCCACATGTTATATAAGACCAGTAAAATTTATTCATTCCTACCAATCTCCAGCTAAATATGCACAATTTTAATATCTCTTATTCGCATATTTGTGCTGGCATTGACCTTGCATCGCACTTGGAAAGTTGGCCGAAATGGTTATTCATTAACAACACCAAAGGCAAACAAATAGAGCAGAAGCACGCGAGAAATTCAATGTGAAATAAAAGCAATTAATGGAAACAGATTCTGTGCCTGCACTGTGTTGAATTTTGTTTCGCATCTACCTCATAAATGAGACGCCAAAATCAAATTTCCACTCAACCACATGGAGTGCGAAGCTCTTTTTGCTTAGCAGTTTGCACTGTTTACAATTTCCCAGAGCTTTATATATGACGCTCAGTTGTTGATAGTTTCTGCGTGCGCCTGTTTTCAATGAAATTGTTCAATACGGATGCTGTGTGGGAAAATAAAATTTGCAAATTATGCAAGAGTTGGCGGGCAGTGGGGGGTCTCTTCATCGGAAAGTCCGTCGTTTGTCCCACTGAATGCTTGTTTATTTGGGCATTTGTTTATTTCAGGCGCTTGGAAAATATTCAGACACTTAAATCGATCTATGCGTGGTTTTCTATGCACAGTAAGAAAAATATACATTAAATGGGGATTAATTAGATTCAAACAAATGTAACAAGTTAACTTGGAACTCTTATTTGCTTATCACAGAATTAAGTTTAGCAATAATGTTTTAAAGTGTGTGCTGTATAAAAATTATTATTTTTTTAATGTGGCGTATTTTTGCAGCCCAATTAGAATTAGATTTCGAATTTGTTTACGACACTTAAACAGCGCACAGCGAAATTTTGTGTGCACTTTTATTCCGCGTCGAAATCTTTCGCGAAAATCCCACTGCATATATTTCGGGAACATATTTCACATTTTAGCCTGTGCTCAGCAATTAATGCATTAATTTGATGTGACAGAAAAATGACGGCCAGAATATTTATGGGCGGACTTATGTTCGCGGCTTATTAGATTATGCACGTATATTTATTTGAAGATTTGTTTAAATGGGATAAAATATAAAGATTAAACGAGTTTTCATTAAATGTGTTTTTGTTTTTGTATGCAGAAAGTGCAGAAAGGAAGTTCTTGTTTTGAATTTCCTGACTGCCCAAGGAGTTCTCCGGTAAATTGAATTTCCATCTCTTGTTCAAGCTCCACTTGTGTCCGCAATATTCCATTTCCCATTTCGCCAATTTCATTTCACCGCATTATTTACTTCCTTTGCGCCACATCCTTCCACTCCCACTTCCACTCCCACTTCCACTCCCACTTCCACCGCCTCAATCGCTCCAGTTTTATGGCAGCAAGAGGAACGTTTATGGCCAAGAGCCATCATATACGCTCGTGGTCAGCCGATGGAGGGAAAACTTTCGCCGCAACAATGTTTCCCCCACTTACGCATATTTCTATTTGCGCTGTTGAAATAGAAAACAAACAAATAAACGTCGCAGTGCACCGAATCCCTGGACGGGTTTCCCATCGAAACTTATATAACTGCCGCAATGACGATGATGGCGATGGCGATGACGATGGCCAATGGCTCCTGATGAGCTTGGTTCAATGGCTCCAAGGCAACGCACATTCCGAAAGTGATTTTGATTTCGATTTCGTTCGAAATCGTTCGATTTGCTTGCATCAGAAGCGAACCGCCAGCAACAGATACTGCAAACAGCAACGGCAAACGAGTTCAATTGGTGAAAACCACTTTTGGCCGCCAGTTTGCTGCTTTATTTCCTGGCCATGGACACTCCACTCCAGCGGCGAGATGGGAAAACTTGATTTTCCAGCTGAGCCTGGGTCGGGGCAAGCGGAAAACGCATTCCCAACCGGAGCATGAGTTTCCCAGAGCTGTCTTCGTCGTCGTCCATGTCGTCGCATGTTGCTCTAATTGCATGACAAACTCTCTGCCAACTTTCACACACTTTTGGCGTTATCTGTGGAGGTAAAACTGCAGCTTTGGCTTAAAACTGCCTTGGCCATAAATGTCACATATCAAAAGGAAAAGTGAAATTTCGTTGTTCCGACTTCAGCAGCCTGCGGAAGTTGTTAAACTGTTGCGAGAGTAGTGGGCACTTACACAACGCTTGCGTTCTATTTTTTTTAACGCAATATACTGGGGTAAAAGTGAACAGATTTAGTAGACTTTTAGTGTACTTTAAATTTTTAAAATATTTTCAAACAAAAGTATTTCACAAGACGAAAAACTCGCGAAATGTAAAGCTCCTCCTGTTTGACCACATTTATCATCATTTTTGTTATAAAAAATGTTTTGTATAAACTAAATATATTTTAGATCTAATTTATTTGTTTGTAAAACATGCATTTTCATAAGCACCTTTAAAAGCGTTTTGGCAACTTCCGGCATATCTCAACTGCCTTTTAGCTTGGAATTTAGTAATTACAAAATGCTTCAAAGATGCAAAACGTATTTGAAATAGAACAGATACACAGACCGAAATTGTTCAAGACATTTTAATGTAATTAAATTTGAACGCAGCCTCTAATGATTTCGTTTGCCTTGTCTGCGTTTTGCATCGTATGAATGTGCTAAAATAACAATAGAGAATGAAGGCATAAAATGCCTCAGACAGGCAAATCTAATAAGCATAATGAATGAACCCCAAAACTCGGGAATGCCAGCAGCTGAGTTGCTGTTTTCACTCAACACGTTGAACTTGTGCTGTCACCTGTAAAGGCAATGATGAACAGCCTCCCCTGCCACGCCAATGCATATTTTTTTCCCCTATTTTTTTTTTTTTAGCTCCCAGGGGGTGACCATGCCCGCTGGCATGTGGTAAATATCTTGCAATCCACACTCGGGCCATGTAAATACGAATGCTCTGCTGTCGTTCGCTGTTTTGTTTAATTAATTTCTATATTAGATACACTTCATTAAAAATGCCTTGGTTGTGTGGTCGGTGCCATTGTTGTGGGCTATTTTTGGCAATCGAAAGGAATTCGGTGATTGAGCGGCACAACTGTGGCTCGAATGAGATCTGTGCCAGAGATACTAGGATACATTTACAGACTTGCAGCCTAATGGCTCGTAAAAGATCTATGGCCGGTCTGCATAATTCAGTAAATGTGTGTGTCGTCGGGAGCCCAAAACACTTCAGTCCAGGCCTTCTGGTGTCTCCTTTCAGGACCTCTGTCCACCTGTCAGCCCTTCCATTCATCTGGCAGTGCCAGAGCAATTAACGCACTCTGAGCCCAGGGCCAAAAGGTGGGAATTGGGTCAAGAGGGGCTAAGCAAAGTGCCGCTCTGGAGTTCGGGGCCATGCATTTGTCGTCGCCGGCATAATGAAATGCATTTCAGTCCTCATTAGGCATGCCATTTTGTGATTTTGATTCCGCCTGACGGGATTTCAGCCCTCGAGCGTGATTGAAGAGCACAGAGACCGACTTTAATTGCCCAAATAGTGGCCTTAATTGACTCAATCGAAAGTGGAATGCAATTTACAAGCATTCTTAAAATGCGTAAAAGTTTCTAATTTGTGTGAAAATCAAAGTTTTTTATTCATTTTAAAAAGTAGACCGCAATAGATATCAGCAGGCAATCGATAAATAGTTAAATGGTCTTTAAACAATAAATTTGCAACAACTATAATTTTCATTGAAAAATCACAAGTTTAAGATTTCAGAAAATATTACCGGTAGAACCAACTTTTCTTATTCCATTTTCAGTTGTTCCGAGTTCATTTTGGCATACAATTAAAGGGTTTTTGCACTAGAAGCGTTGCTACCACTTAATGTAACTTTGATGTTTTTCTGGCCACGCACCAAAGAATAAGTTTTACCTGCTGTGGATTTTCAGGCAGCAATGAGTAAATAAAAACTTTTGCGGTTAAAGTTTTTCCGCCTTTGTTTTGGCTGTGCAAATGCTTGCAGCAAATGTGGCCGCGCCCCCGCCCCCTTCATTTTTTACTTTTCTGTCCTGAAAATGGACTTCTCATTCGTGTGGCATTTTTTGGCACTTGCCACAATGGCCACGTTCCGCTCTCACACTCGCAGACACAGGCGCATTCCGTGGCTCGTGGCACGGCGTTCTGGGAGCCCACTCCTCCGTATCACGGACGGACGGACGGACGGCCGAAGGCGGAAGGCAGGGGGGGGTTGGCTGCCACGGCTTTTTGGCAGCGGCAACTTTGCTTTGTCATGTGCCATATTTCTTTCTCGCCCGGCAACTGTGCTGCGGTGACAAAGTGTCTTTTGTTTAAGAACTGCAAATGTGGCTCTTTCCCGGAAAACTTGATTCGATTCCATCAACGACTGCTCACATTAGCTCCTGCTGTCTTTATATGAAATCCTTGCTTCTTATATAAGACTAGTTTTATGAAGAAATATTAAATGGATATAATCATGGTTAAATAAATATTTAAGATGAAAAATTGATTAAACCAGCACTAAACGATAGTTTTTAGTCTGCATTTGTATCTTATAAATCATATATAAGATTTATAAGAAAGGAAATGAGGAACAATAAATGTAGCTACCTGATTTAAGCCACAAGAAATTTCAGCTTAATTCTATCCAGATTCGAGTCTAGGATTAAGTTCCAAACCAATTTTTTCGTAGCATACTTTTGTAGTTCAAATCAAATAAACACACCAGTGGTGTTTGAACCCCATAAATCAGCTATCAAAGTTGCCACTTAGTTATTTTTAGTCACACAAAACAGGGTTTCTGAAAATAAGCGATAGTTGATGCGGCAACTCCCATGCGAAAGGATTGCGACTTTGAGCTGTAAAGAATGCGGCTACCCTATCATAACTTTTCGCTCAGCAGGCTCTTGACAGACCAAAATCCTGAAAAAATCGAACTAGTAGGCTTTTGCAATAAGGACTGTCAAAATGCAGGCCATGCAAGTCATTCGTCTGTGAGACGTCTTACCGTAAAGTACACCTAGGCATACAATACCCACAAATATATATAAAATATAAAAACCAAAAAAAAGATTTTATAAACTCAGACGGAAAAATTTGTGTTGTGTTATACTTTAATACAGTGTTAACTTATACCGTGTTCGCTTGTACCGCGTTACATTCCACCGTGCTACCAAAAAAACTTTCTGTTGCTGCGTTACCTCGTTGCATTGATCCATCAAGTTCTCTGGTTTCAAATTATCCGAATCCGATTCCCCGAAGAGCCGCAGCATGAACAACTTAAATGCCAATGCCAGTGCCTTCCTGTGGCAGCCCCAGCCGCAGCAGCTGCCGCCGCAGTCAATACAGCAGCCGCAGACGGTGCAGCAAGTGCCGCCCGGCCAGATGCTCCATACCGCCGTCGTTTCGCAGCCGCGCAAGTTCGGCGGCAACAAGAGCAACTACAACTACATGCAGGGCCAGGCCGGCGCCATTTTGGGCGGCGGAAATCCAGGGGGCAACCCAATGGGCGCCATGGGCGGCATGGGAGGCATGGGCGGCAACCCCAATGTCTACCGCAAACGCCAGCCGATCAACGCCTATAACCCGGGTAACGGGCTGTACAACGGTAAGCAATGGGGTCCTGCGTTGGATCGGATAGAAAACCTTAAAGTGGGTCGACTAGAAAGTTTTTTCACAAGGCTTTGAGAAAAAAAAATGGCTGCCATTTTATAAAATTTCCGACTGTAAAATATTTAGCTGCAGAAAATTATATAAACCAGAAACATAATTGTCTAAATTTTTTTTAATGTTAACTTTTTAAAGTGTAACATACTTTCTTTTTTTCTATATTCCGTTCTTAAAGTAAAAAGGTGGCAGACATCATGACTAAGCAAAAAAAAAAAATTACTTATCAACACTGTCAGCCTAACAACACTTCGAAAACAGTGTTTAAGAACTGAATTCTACATTTCCCAATACTGAAAATGAACTGATAACTCCTTTTCCCACCTTGTGCAACATTTGTCGCTAAACACTGTCCAACACAGATGAATTATTCAAATTGAATTCTTGTACTACTCACTCACTGTTTGAATTATTAAATACCATATATATATATATATATATTTTGTGCCGCTTTAAAACGCTTGCACAAATCATTAAACGCGTTTATTTTCTTTTGTCTTTTCAGGTAAGTCGCTGTTTTCTATACCCGAAAATGTTGTTATGCTTGAGAGCCGTAAGTACATTTAAAACTAGAGCACATTTCAAACACACACGCACACCAAACACAACACCCCCACACTCGCACACAAAGAGCCCAAACAAATACACACACGAACATCAACATTTGCAGATCGAATCAATCAATCGTCCTGGGGCCAAAAGTTGAAGAACGGGAGAGTGCGGGAGTTTTTGTGATGAAATGTAAACGGCGAAATTAATTTCCAATTGAAAGGGGGTGGGTAAAAGTTCAATTACAAAATAAAACAATGCATCTGGGCAAAAGTATAAAGATCAAAAGATGCCAGCGCCGAATTTGCATCTCTATGCGAAATTTATTTTCTGCCATTAATCAATTTCGCTTCTGTTCAGTTCCCGTTCCGTTCTGTTCGGATCGGTTTTTATTTCAGTTTCCTGGCCAGCAAAATGCAATTTACATTTTTTGTCTTGCATGAATTTTCAATTGCATTTTCTCGGTGCTTTTCTTCTGTTTATATCAGGCTCCATTAACATTTCTATAACGATGACGTTGCTGGTCGGACAACGTCGTCCAAGATTTTCACGTTTCTCCTTGGAGGTCGTTTATTTTTTTCTATTTTTCGCATTGTTTTGGTCATTTGCATAATTTTCAATGCACGCAATTTTCATTCAAAACGTCGAACGGAGTGGACGTAAAACTTATCTATAAAAGCCAAGGAGTGTAATGTTTTTAAAGTGAAGATTTCTGCGTTCTGTAGTTAGGTATGCGTATTTTGAGGTACAAAATACTGCCCCAAGTCAATTATTGTTATGGCTCATTTTCTTAATCGTCCCCGTTCCACCCAAGCCATCAGATGGTGTTATAAAAATATGAAATTGCCGTTTGAACAATTTTTCGGTGGACACCACACCACCACCACCACCAAAGACCAAGAAGCCGAACAAATTTGCACCATAATTAAAATAAATGCTTTCAATGGCCAATAATTGCCAAATAAATTAATTTTAATTGCAGGCAGCCGACGGCGGTTGCGGGTGGCAAAGCACAGGCTGCTAAAAATATATTTCAAAGTGGCTAAAATAAAAATGTACGCTTTACATTCGCAAGAGTGTGGTGGTTCCATCTCTCCG